GCCCCACACACCCAGCGGTCCTCTGGAATGACATGTCTCTCTTCGGGTGCTCCTCCCCTCCAAATATTCAGGTTTGCGTGAGAGAGCGTCCGCCCTAATATTCTCTGGGCCTGGCACGTAACAAATCTCAAAGTTAAATTTGGAGAATTCCTGAGCCCATCTCACTTGCCGTTGGTTGAGCACTCGTGCCGTCCTCCAATACTCTAGGTTCTTGTGGTCAGTGCACACTTGCACCTTATGTTGTGCGCCAATTAGCAGGTGCCTCCATCTCCGGAACGCCTCATGAATGGCTAGTAGTTCTCGGTCATACACCGTGTAGTTCCTCTCGGATTTGTTCAGCTTTCGCGAAAAAAGCACACGGTCTCCACTCTGACTCCTCCTTCCCTGGCTGGAGAAGCACCGCCCCAACCGCTCTGTCTGATGCATCAGTTTCCACTCTCATCGGTTTTTGTAAATCCACATGCAGGAGCTGTTGTTCCGAGGCGAAGGCCCTTTTAGTTCCTCAAATGCTTGCTCCGCCTCCTCCGTCCAAACGAACTTCTTCTTACTGCTGAGACAGTCCGTAATGGGCGCCGTCAGGTGGGCAAAGTTTGGGATGAACTTACGATAGAAGTTCCCAAACCCTAAAAACCTCTGCACATCCTTCCTTGTTTTGGGTGTTTTCCATTCCAGTACCGCCTGGACCTTGCCGGGATCCATGGCCAACCCCTTGTCAGACAGGCGATACCCCAGGAATTCCACCTCCTTGGTATGAAACTGACACTTCTCCAGTTTCACCCACAGCTGGTTGGCTTGCAGCCTGCTCAACACTTCTCTGACGTCTCTCACATGCTGCTCCTCATTCTCAGAATACACCAACACGTCGTCTAAGAAGGCCACACAATTCTTGTAAAGCAACGGCCCCAGGACGTGGTTCATAAACGATTGAAATGTTGCGGAGCCTGCTTGTAGACCGAAGGGCATAACTAAGTATTCAAATGCCCCTAAAGGGGTGAACATGGTGGTTTTCCATTCATCCCCCTTCCTTATTCGTATCAGGTTGTACGCCCCCTTAGATCCAGCTTGGTGAAAATCTTTCCCTTTCGCACCCTTGTCAAAATGTCGTCAATCCTGGGCATCGGGAAGGCCACTGGTTCTGACACTGCATTTAAGGCCCTGAAGTCACACACCAGTCTCGGCTTGTTCGTGTTTTTTTGTCCACAAAAACACTGGGCTGCCCCCACCGCCCTGGACTCTCTGATGAACCCTCTCTTCAGGTTCTTGTCAATGAACTCTCTTAGCTCCTGCATCTCTCTGTCTGACATGGCGTACAGCTTGCCCACAGGGAGCTGTGCCCCAGGGAGCAAATTGATTTGACAGTCAAAGGCTCTATGCGGTGGTAGTTGGTCAGCTTCCCTTTCGCTGAAGACGTCGCGGAGATCTGCGTATTGTCGTGGTACCTTCACGTTCTCCTTCACTTCAGTCCCTGCTAGGGTGGCTTGGGCCCCTGCCAAAACCTTTCCCCTTTGCAATGTTCTAAGCAATGTGCTGACCCAAAAGAAACCACTCTCTGATGCCAGCCCACCAGCGGATCATGTAACGCTAGCCAGCTCATCCCCAATATAATGGGAGCTCCTCCCAAGGTGGCCACATTAAAAGCTATCAGTTCAGTGTGCCTTGCCACCTTCATTATCATTGGGACGGTCTGCAAGCTGACTTCTCCTCCCAACAGCTCCCTGCCATCGATCGTGGTTACCTGCAGGGGGTTGCTTAAAGGGAGCGTCTGTATCTGGTGTTCAGCTGCAAACTCTTTGCTCATGAAATTGCAGGAGCTGCCTGAGTCCAACAGCGCCTTTATCTTTAGAGGGTGTCCGTTTGGGAGCTCTAGTGTCACTTCTATCACTAGGGCGGGTTTAGGAGGTTCTGGAGTGGGCACTTTCACTGCTCTTTGGCCTGGCTGCTGTGCCCCGACAATGGCAGCCAGGCGTTGGCTTTTAGTTGCTCCGGTATTTTTTCCTCTCTTCCCTCCACAGCTCCCACCATCCCTTGCCATTCCTTCCTCTGGGGGCAGACTCTGGCAAAGTGCCCTGGCTGTTGGCAGAGATAGCATTCCCGGGCGCCTTTTCCATCCTTCTTTCCCCTCACTGGGCTTTGAAACTGCGCGCGCGCGCTGTTCCGATTTCCATCGGCTCTGCCGGCGGGACAGTTGGCTCTGGAATTTCTGGAATGCGGAACTCCTTCCAACGTTCCCCTTCCCTTCCCGCCTCTCCAATGCTCTCGCTCCTGGCGCGCCTCCTATGGCCAGCGCTGATTTGGTCAGCTGGTCCATAGACTCCGCCCTGGGCGCCCGGGAAAGTTCATCTTTCACAGCCGAAGAAAGCCCTTCTTCAAAGAGCATTTGAATGGGTTCCGCCGATAAGTCCCACCCCAATCTGTGTATCAGCATGGTGAACTCAGTCCAGTACTCACGTACAGATCGGCTCCCTGTTTGCAAGCCATTAACTGTCTGCGCACCACTCCCTTTTCAATATCGCTGGAAAACATCAGATCCATGGCGCGAAAGAACTTCATCGTGTCCTTTAAGACGTCACTATTAGCTGCCATCAGGGGTCTAACCCAGTCTCTCGCCCTTTTCAAGATGCCCAATCACAAAAGCCACTCGTGATTCCTCATCAGGGAAATCATCAAACTGCAGATTGAGGGCATATTGCATTTCTGTCCGAAAGCTATGATAGTCTTTGGGCTCCCCACCAAATTTTTGCACCAATCCTGGTACCTTTCTGGCGAGCTGGGTGGCTTTCTCCCTTTGTCTGCATCTTGAGCCCTCCTCTCCTCCAGCCTCGCCGTCTGCAGCGCCAGCTGGACCTCCAACACTCGGTACCTTTCTTCCAGGCTTGGACCCGCTCCAGCCCCTGCTTCTCCGGTTCCTGCTGGGTTGCTCATTATGCCTTCTCCTGCACAAGCTGCGTTCAAAGACTGTCGGAATGCTGTGATGGGATTATGAGCTGCTTGTGCGTAAAATCGTATTCCCTCAGAGTTTGTTCAAGTCCACAAACCTCTGTCTGTGACTGAGCCCTCTGACATGGCTCCTCTTAGTCACTAGAAGATTCCGACAGTGGTTGCTTTCGTAATCGCTTCCAACATAAAAGCTCCTTAACGGAAACACGTCTTCTGGACTCTCTGCGTGACAGTTTCCGGCGAGGAGTGGGTGTCGCTACAGGAGGTCCGGAAACCTCACCACTGTTTTCGCTGGAAGTATCTCTGAGCCATCCCCCAGCTCCCTTTCCCTCAGTTCAGCTTCTCTCCCCTGCTGGTTTCCTCTTCAGCTGCTAAGTCTCTTCCAACCTGTCTGAGCCCTTTCACCTCCCTCAGTTCAGCTTCTCTCCCCCTGCTGGTTTCCTCTTCAGCTGCTAAGTCTCTTCCAACCTGTCTGAGTCCTTTCACCTCCCTTCCTACCGATGGCAGTTCCCTGACACAAATCTTCCTTGGTCATCTTTAAAAACAAATTTTGGTGATAGGCTCTCTTTTGCATAAATAACTACTCCTCGCTTTTTAACCTTATCCGATGAAATAAATTCTTGGCCCAGTCTCTTATTAATCAATATTTTCCTGTGTAGCCTTATCACGTGTGTTTCCTGTAGGCAAATCAAGTCCAATTGTTCCTTTTTCAATAAATAAAAACTTTCTTCCTTTTCTCCGAGGAATTAAGTCCGTGAATATTCCAGCTTAATAGTTGCAGAGACATGGTGTATTTAAATTATTTTTCCTCCAACTGCTCCCAATAAATCCTCTTGTTCTGACGGTGGTATCACTTTCTGTAACTTGTCCAATCCCGAAGGTGGTGGTACTTTGTCAACCTGAAACTGTTCTTAACCTGAAGCACCACTTTAGCTAGTGGGGCCTCCTGCTGCTGCTGCACCACCGGAGCACGATTTCTGTTCTAATCTTGAAGCAAAGTTCTTAACCCGAGGTAATATTTCTGGGATAGCGGAGTCTGTAACCTG